CAGCACTGTTGGCCATACTGAATCCTACATATTGAAAATTCAGAGGTGACATCACCAATTTGTTTCATGATCACATATCCATGGCGACAGAATAAGTCAAGGGAAAAATAGGGTGAGAGAGTGCTTGAAGCAATTGAAGCAATTTATTGGCACAAGGGATTCAGTTATCAAGGTTGCAAATAAGTCATCAACTTCAGGCATGGACGTGCACCAACGTGTTTCTCAAATTTCTGCTTGCTTGGACAAGCACGCCGCCTTCTAAGAGCATGCCTTGAATTCATAATGGCTGGAGAAAATTTTAAAAGTAATGGAAGAAGTGCTTATGTAACTCATTTCTATATCAACAGGGGACTGTATTTTTGACGGTGCAGGAGGCTGAGGCAGAAGCCTGTTAGGGGCCATGCCTGTGCTGGCAGCTCAGCACTCCCAGGTCAGAGCAGCGTTGCCGAAGCCTGGGCCAGCAGTGTGGGGGAGCCGTGTGGTCACAGGGTGCCCCGATGGCCCCGTGCATCCAAGTGCCTTGATTCTGGGGAACATAAGATGCTGTCATATATTTTCTCATTACAATGAGGTCTCTTCTCTCTGCTCCCAAGAGGAAAGGCAGTTTATGGTTAGACAAACCCAGGTTTGAAACCTGGGCTAGCTATGTGACTTTGGGCATGCCACTTGAACTCTCTGGGCCTCAGTTTACGCATCTGCACACTGGTCATTAGAATAAGACCTTGTTCCTAGGGTCGTTTTGAAGACTATATGAGATAACGTCTATAAAGCACTTGGCATAGTGCCTGGCATGCATTAAGGGCTTAAGTAACAACAGTAAAACCAGAGAGCATATGAGGGTTTTTAATAAATCATCAGACATAAAAAGACATTTTCAAGGGCTCATGCCAATCACATGTGCCTCGATACTATCATTCTGGGTGAGGACATCGCACACTCTGAATTAGATAACAGTGATGTGACAGAAGTGCCCTGATGAATCGGCTTCATTATTTTGGCCTTAATGCTCGGGCTGCATTTTAAAGAGCAGCCTGTAACTCAGGTGCTGTTGGCTTCAGTGTCAGGTGCAGGTTTTTCTCTGGCCTCCTAAGAGGATGAACAGAGTGGACGTCGGATGCCGTGCTGATGATGGCCCTCGAGGCCAAGCTCTGATCATGGAGACAGACTCCTCCGTGTAGCTGGAACCAGGAGGAAGGCTTGGCAGGCGGGATGTCTGGTCAAAGGAGCCTGGGTCTGGAGTCACCACTTGGGTTAGAGCCCAGCTCCTTCAAGGCAAGTGTGAGGCGTTGGGCAAGTTATTTGTCTCTAAACCTCAGTTCCCTCAACTATAAAAAGGGAAAAATACCTCATTTGCAGAGTGGTTGTAAGGATAAAATGATATAATGCAATGTATGTAAAACACCTGCTCTATGGTATGTGCTTCATAAATATGACAATTTGTATAAGTAAGCAAAGTACAGCAACTACAAAGTGTCACATGCATAAGTAGTAATTGATATTGTTTTGTGACAAAACAATCCTGTGAGATCACATTATTTTCCTTCTTAGAAAGAATAGCAAGATACAGACAGCAGAAGCCTTGGCAAATGAGTGCGGTTCCTTCTGAGAAACGGTTTACGGTCTGGATCAAATCCCTGCCACAGGTGACATGTTCATCACTGCCCTGAGAAGACCTAATCTGGGGGTTCATGGGGGACAGGTGGAGAGGGTGGCCATGAGGAGCAGACCTTCTTAGCCAGGGGACAATCAGTGATGAGCCGCTCTATTGGACGGGGTCCTGACATGTTATGAATGGCTCTAAGTGTGGGGCAGTCGCAGATACACACTGTTTCCTACTCTAGTCCTCTCTGCAGCAAGAAACTGTGCTGGGACACATGGCCTTGGAGGCAGTCATGGAACCCAGAGCCCAGAGAGCAAAAGGCCCCCAGTCTGGGCATGTTGCAGGTAAAGTGGAGGTGGTAGAACCAGGCCAGGGAGGAACGGTCTCAAAGAAGGCATGGTTGGCGCTCCTCTTGTCCTGACTCCAGTTGCTTCTGAACAATTTTCTGGGAGAAGAACCCAAGACATGATGGGTGCAGAACCCATATGATAGGGAGGGATGTCTTGCACATAGAAAACCCTCCATTCGCAGAGAACTTGAACTCTGAACATTCCAGAGAATAAACATACATGGAAGATTAAAAACATGGGGGTAAAAGTCGATACTCCTGCAGCTATGCCCACCAGCAACTCATTGAGAATAAACCCTCCTGAATGTAGAAAGTTAATGGTGCCTATCGCCATCTTGGAAACCCGGCCTGGGAAAAGGGGAGGACTTGGAGGTGGGTGCCAGACATTGCTCAAAATGGTAAGTGTTTGAGTTGGTCCTTTCTTCCCCACCAAGATGTGTGCATCCCCAGGAGGAATTCCCAAGTATGTTCCCACTTCTCCTCCCGTAGGAAATGAAAGCCAATGACTGCATCTGGTGCTTGCTGGTCTGATGCAGTAGTTCTCAACTGGGGCCCCCAGGGGACATTTGGCAATGTCTGGAGACAATTTTGATTGTCACTTTTTTTTTTTTGGCGGAGGCATGCTACTGGCATCTAGTGGGCAGAGGTCAGGGATGCTGCTAAACATCCTCAGCACACACGGCGGCCCCCACAACAAAGACTTACCCAGCCCCAAGTGTCAGTAGTGCAAGGTTGAGAAACCCTGGTCTGATGCAACGTGAGTTTCTTCCATCGATGGAAGTGGCTTGTTCCTCACACCTATCATCTCAGTGTAGGGTAGAATGGGGGAAGTGTCATGGCTAGTCTGTTATGCCTCATTGGTGGCCATATACAGAAGACGGGGTGGTGAGAAAAAAATTTAGGGGTGGCAATGAGCCTAAAGGGAGCCTCAGGCTAACCTCCCAAGGTAGATGGAAGGATGAGGGCAGAGTTTTTCATTTCAAGTCAACTCTTACTTATTTAAAAACCAATTTCCTTAAGCACATAATTACATGTTTATTTCCCTAAGGAACTCTTGAGGCAGAGGAGACCTGCTTCTTAAATTATGGGGATGGAGGCTGCACACAGGGCCTTAATGGGGTTAGAAAAATTTTCTGTCTCCTTCAAAGGAGGCTTGGGAGGAAGGGAAGGGCAGATTCTTCTCCTGCAGTGCAGAGGATGTGAGGAGGATGGAGTGAGGTAGGAACAGAGGCCGAAAGTGTGAGGACTGGTTGTATGATCCTAGCAGGTCAGGATCCGAGTAGAGACATGGACTCTGGGGTGCAGCTTCAAGCCTCTCACCTCTCTCTCCCCATCTTCATAAGCAGAGGGAAGGGGTCCAGGAAGTGGGCCATTCACGTCCTTCCCGCTGCACTGCCTTACGTGCACACACACACACACACACACACACACTCACACTTATACACCCCTTTGGAAGATGCTCTGGTTTGCATCAAGAAACAGAATGAGGGCGCTGGCCCGGTGGTGTAGTGGTTAAGTTTGCATGCTCTGCTTCAGCGGCCTGGGGTTCACGGGTTTGGACCCCGGGAACAGACCTATACACCACTCATCAAGCTCAGGGACAATCTTCCTCAACAACAAAACAAAAACAACAGAATGCTGTTGGGGGAGGAGAAGGTGGGGGTGGGCAGGGTGGAGGAAATTTTGATGAGAGCAGGGTAGGGGTTTCAGTGCATCCTTTCTTTATGCTATTTCTCATTTCCCTGTTGCAGCCTGAATGCCTGGAATTGTGGGTTCTTCTTTTTGGGAGATGGCCTCACCTGGGTAGCCTGGCTGAGGACCAAGGGAATAGAATGAAGGAACTGATTACTCAGATTTGACACACAGAGGAAAAAAGGGTGAGGTGGGGAGGGCATCTTACAGCCTTCCTCTTGCTCCTAGATTGGCAAGACTCCAGCTAATGTACCTTTTTGTATAAGAGTTGGAGGAGGATTAAATTGGGTGGGCAGTAGTGGAAGGGAGAAAGATGTAGTGAGGAGCAGGTAGCTTAGTTCTGGCTGTGGTCTAGGCTACAAAGGGTGGGGCCTACAGGGGAACCCTCACCTCCCCCGTCTCCAGTGCAACTGGAACGTCTGCATGTCTGTCATAGACCCATTATATGTGGTGGGACCCTGTCAGTGCCCATCTCCTCCAGGAGGCTATGAATCATGTCACATTCAGCTGGGTAGCCTCCACATCTAACATAGCCTGGTACACACGGGCACTCAGGACATATTTCATGACAAATTCCAACCTTATCCAGCCTGGCCTGCCATAGCAGAAGAGAGGACAGGAATTTAGGCACAAGTTATACCACAGGAGCCCGTTTGGCTGGTCTATCCCATTCATTCTATCTCTCAAAGCCAAAAGTGTGGTGGTGGTGCTGGTAGGATGGGATCCTACGGGGTGAAGATAACATCAGAGAAACATGACCAAGATTTGTAGCCCTGAATCTCTTCATTTAATCATCAAATATCCTCTCTGCTTAACCGCCCAGACCGGCTCAGTTCCAGCATTCCTTAGTGTGCGGTGTGGAGCAACATACTGGGCTGGAGGTCACGGTGAGCCGAGCAGCCAGAGGCTGGTGAGAGGTGCCCAGCCCTTGGGAGACGGAGATGGTGGTTATCTGTGAGCACAACATCCAGGCCTTCTCTGTCCTGGGGGCTAAGGGGATGATACATGTGCGGCATGTGGGCCTAGACGGAAGGGCTGTGTCCACAGGGGCCCTGTGAGTGTCAGAGACCCTGGGCTGCTGGGGCTTTGTGTCCTCTTCATTGACCAGCTCCCCAGAAGACATCAAATGTCATCAGGGAACAGATACATACAGTTTCAGCCTCTTCAAGATGTGTGTTGTAGTCCTGGCCCATCCTTCCACTGTCTAGAAGTGTGACCTTGGGCCTCTCTGAGCCCTAGCCACCTCACCCAAACAGGGATGGCCCACCTGCCTTTCCTACATCATACGGCTATTATGAGGCTCAAATAAGTTGATGTGTGGGAGTGTCTTATAAACTGTAAAGTGCTATGCAATGTGAGCTTGTTTTTACAAGTTATTTATTCAAGGAAGCAGCAGAGGGACCCCCCACATCAATGGGGCTCCCTTCAATTAGGACCTGCCTGCACGGGAGTGCTACTTCAATCTCTCGAGCCAGCTGGCAGCTGGAGGGTTTAGCACTTGCAGTCCACTTCTGCATCTCTGGCCCCATCTAACACACAGGTCAGGGCAGTGGGAGCCCGGCAGAGGGCGCTGCCCCTTATTTAGTTCGCTGGTAGAACTGGAAGACTGCTTTCTCCTGCTCATAGGTCTCGATGGAGCCGGGTCGAAGGCGCCGGATTTCAGCGATGGCATCTCCTGCAGCCAGGCCCCGCTCCTTCACCAGGTAACAGGCCAGCATGGTGCCCGTGCGGCCAAAGCCCAGGGTACAGTGCACTCCCACGGCCTGTGAAGGGGGAGCTTGATGGGGTGGAGCCTGATGCCCTCCCAACACTCTGCTGCCCTCACTTGGGCTGGTCTCCTTCTCCCTACAGCTGTTTCTTCTGGGTCCGGCCCATGATCTGCACAGGTCTGGTCGTCAGGGGCAAGAAGTGACATCCAAGTCAGGGAGGGCTGTCCCTGTGTGGCTTGGAGGTCACCAATCACCTGAGGTGGCTGGTTCAAGTCCTGGGCTCCTGCCCTGCCTCCTCACAACCCTCTACCTGCACTGCCCAGGGCAGAAGCCACTGGCCACCTGTGGCTACCGAGTACCTGAAACGTTGCTCGTCCAAATTGAGATGTGATGTAAAATGCAACCAGGTTTTGAAGATGTAGCACAAAAAAGAATAAAAATATCTCATTAAGAATTTATTTTATAAATAATTGATTATATATTGAAATGATAATATTTTTGACTTACTGGGTTAAACTATATTTAATCAAAAGGAATTTCTCCTGCTTCTCTTTTTTACCTTTTTAAAATGTCGCTGATAGAAACTTTAAAATTACATATGTGGTTCCACTATACTGGTACAGAGCATTGCTCTGGAGACTGCTCAACAGCCTCTGTCTGACTTCAAGCCCCGCTTCTCCCAAGTCTGTCCACACTTTCTCCTTCTCAACTCATCGTTGCCTCTCCTCAAGCCCAATCCAGACTGCTGGGCCCTTTCGTTACTCCACCCACTTACCGCCCCGCCCCCTCCCCTTGGCTTTACGTCCTGACCCTACCGTCTCCTCGCGATCTCTCTTCCACAGCCCAGCTAAATTATTCCCGGCTCTGACCTCCCCAGCTCCGCCCGTGTCCCCGCTGACCCCTTCCAGGTCCCTCCCTCCCTGCGCTGACCCCGCCCGCTGACCTCTCCCCGGCCGTTGGCCTCGTCCACGATCTGCACGAAGCGGTCGATCTGCTCGGGGGCCGGCGGACAGAAGTCTGGGATGCGCAGCCGGTGCAGGGTGAGGCCGGGGCAGCTGTCGCTGTGCGGGGGCCCGCGCTCTGTCAGGGACACCAGGTGCCGCACGCCCACGTCCAGCAGGAATTGGTAGTGGGCGGGGAGCCGGGGCAGCGCCAGCCCCGCAAGCCGGCCCGGGAGCACCCATGAGAAGTTGGAGGGCTGCACGCCCATGGCTGGGGGAGGGCATAGGACAGCCGGTCACCCGGGGCGAGGCCGGCCGGCCCGCTCCACCCACTCGTCCCCTCGCCCGGCCCAGGCCTGGTATCCCGCCACTTACCTAGCACCGGCGCTTCCTGGGACCACGTGGTTTCCGTGACACCGCCCCGAGTGACGTCTGCTCCGCCGTGGGGGATTGGCCGAGCTGCCTGGGGGGCGGGGCTAGAACGCCCAACTGGGGCTCTGAGCGCCGAGAAGAGCGCCGACCCCGGCTCCGAGCAGGACACTCACTAATTGGTTGGATAACTAGTAATGGGCTGGATGACGGCAGCGATGCGCACGGAGATTGGTGGAGCAACCCAAACATCTAAGGAGGAAAATTTAGAACGGATTAGGGATTGTCCTGAGAATGAAGTAACCCGGGGTCGGACTTTGCTGCTCCCTGGCGGTCAGTGGGAGTTATTGCATCACTGGCCAACTGCCCCTGCCGCCCAAGGGCCTAGCCTTCTCTTACTTTCTTCACAGTGGTTGCCCAGGGGTTTAAGAGATGGCAAGTCTACTTCCGCCTTGGAGGCAGAATCTCCTCTACAATGACTGACTAGTCATTATCAGTGACTTTTTGAACTCGTCCAGTAAGGGGGAATCACTACTACACAGGGGACTCTTCTCGTTTTTCCATTGTTGGAATTATTAAAAAATACTGGGCTGCCATCTGGTGCCTAAAATCTTACCAGGGATAGTAATTTAGTATAATAATAATAACAGCCAACAACAGAAGAGTTAACATTTATGGAGCATTTACTATTTGCTAGATATGACAGATCCTAGTCTACTTTATATGTATGTATAGGTTATTTAATTGCCACAATAATCTTGTGAGGTAGGTAACCTAATGAATCCTGTTTTACAAATGAGAAAACTGAGGATCCGGAGAGGTCCGGGAACTTGAGATAACTGATGGCCTGGGGATTTGAAACCAAGCAGCCTGGCTCCAGAATCTTTAACAACACAGCATTGTTTCCTAAGGTTAAACAGAAGGTTACTGACTCTTCACATAACCATCCTCATGTCCCCAAATGTCATCTGGGTTAAACAGTTGCAGGATTTCTTAATCTCTCTTCATATTTGACGATTTCCAGGCTCTGTGAGTCATCCTCCCCTGAGGAGTCTAGAGTTTATGGTAGAAAGTGAGGACCTAGATCTATATGTCTTAGCTATGATCTGAGCAGTCCGTATCCTCATCTTAACAATGTGCTTCTAGTGATGCAGACTAATTACAGTTATGAAAATAGTTAACCTCTATTGAATTTGCTTATGTACCAGGCCCCATGCCAAGTGCTTTCTGGAAGAACCACGTGTGGAAGGTGTTTTTGTATCCCTTTTGTGCATGAGTAATCAGAGGCTTAGAGAAGTTGGTTAACTTGGCCAAGGACGCACAACTAATAAGGAGCTAGGCTTGTTGAGCCAAAGTCTTTCTGATTCCAAGCCCAGGACGCTTAGCCATGAAGATGTACTTCCCTCCCTCTGTCCCCACCTGCCCCTGACACACACATTTGACCATTTAAAGCTGTGGTTCCAGCAAAATGAAAGGGAATTTCCCTTCCCCCAAAGTTCAGTGTCTGCTCTGACCTGTGGAAATGCACTTACCATTTACCCAGACAACACTTAAGCATGGCCTCCATGTACTCTCCCCAGGTCCTAGGAGCTGCCAGATCTACCCTTTCTTCCCCTTCCTGCAATCACAGCCCTGATTAAGCCCTTCCTGTTTGCACTCCCATATCCCAAACAACTGCCTAGCAACCTTTCTAGCCCATTCCAATTCATTCCTTTCCCTCCTTCCCTGCTATGCTCTCAGCCAACAATCAGCCCTCACCATACCCAACTTCTCTCAATCCCATTGCTCCCCAGGGTCTCTGGCTGCCCTGCCTCTGCAGACCAGACTCCAGCCCTTGCTCCTTGCAGGTTGACTTTTCTTAGTCCCTTTGCCCTGCTCTCCTTTCTTTGCTCCCTCCACTCATCAGGGAAAAACTTCCCACATTTTTCTCTACCACCCTATCCCCCTTCCTTGCGTCCTTGAGATCCAGTCCAGAGCCCATTTTCTCCAGAGGGAAGACATTTCTGGGGGGGACAGAGATTCTCTTCTCCTCTGAGCCCCCCAACAGGGATTCTTCCCTTTGTGTGGGTCTCTGCAGGGGTAGAAGTGCATCCATCAACCGACCAGGGCCACCTTCTGGAAAGGCCAGTTGGCTCCCTTTGTAGGAATTCTTCCCCTTTCTCTACTGCTCTGCCCCTCCCTTCTGCAGACCCTGGGTGGATAGACGCTGCCTTGACTGTCTCCCATTGTCAAGGGTGCTATTTAATTTTCTGTCTTGGGCCCAGGGAGCCTCAAACTGAAAGGAAAAACTCTCTCTGATGGTTTCCTAGCTAGGACTCCTGCAACTTAACAATGTCAGTATCCTGCATATGCCCCCCCACACCCCCCATAAGCAATATTGATCTTCTTTTCCTTTCTCTTCTGTAAAGTGTTACCTGACCCTCAGGAAGATTTAGTCTCTTTCTCTACTTCTATCTCACCTTATATAAATATATCCTCCCAGTATGGCAGTTATTTTATTGGACTGGGGTTACCTGTTTGTGTAGAAGCCAAGATGACATCATTCTCTCTTTGAATTCCACACATCTAATATGGAACCTGATACATGATGCTCAAAAATGTTAAATGAACCAATTAATGAAAAAATAAATAAGTAGAATGCCTAGGCAAGACTGTGAATGTATATTTCTGGGAGTGTATGTGAGTCTACAGGACTAAGTGACAATGCATATTTGTGTCTTTTTAATTGAACAAGTTTGAGGACCATGTTGGGTATTGTGTATCACCTTCTTTAGGTGTGCTTTTCACGTGTCTGCGCTTTTAAGGGAAGAATGAGTGTGTCAGTATGATCCTGGTTAAGTCTAATTGCTATTTTTGTGTAAAGGGATAAATAAGCCTTGTTTATAGAGGTCTGCTCCTGTCGTGTGCATGTGTATGATCGTGTGTTTATGTGAGTGTGTATATGTGAATGTGTTGAGGGGGACATGTTTCTAGAGAGCAATCTGTTGACACTGATGGTGGGATGAGTAATAAACTTAATTTCTCTGACTTCAAGGAATTTACAGCATACTTGGGGGGATTTAGAGTCAAAAGTAATTGTTCTCATAACATACACTGAAGTACTAAATTACTCATCAAAGACAATCAGGTGATATATATTAAAAAGTTAATTGTGCAGTAAAAATAACAAGCACAACATAAGTCAGTGGGGGAAAGATAAACTTGGGTTAGAAGCACCAGAAAAGTCTTATGAAGATGGATCGTCCTTCCATTTTGTTCTCTGTTCATTGTGAAATACTGGAAGTAACTTTCATTGTAAAGCTCAACAGAGCAGTTTTAGGGCATCCTAGGTCTCACTTCCCCAGTCGATAAGAATATTTTGACCTAGTTCTCTTTCATATTGAGGCCCCAGTTCCCTGACTGGCTTGATGCCAGTGGCAGTTAGAGGCAAAGCCAGAGTTGGAGAATTCCTTCCTCCAAGTAGGTCCCTGTACCCCACCAAGGCAAAAGATTGCTTGGGTTTGGGTTCCTGTTGCTCTTGAACTGCAAGTCAAAATTCTCAGTGTCTTAAACATTCTCATCTTCCTTTGTCTAAACACATTTCACACCTGGGACCTGATGATCTGGAAATTGGAGTTAAGAAGGGATGGTATGGTAGCCAACCTTCAAGATGGCCCCAGTCAGTCATCTCATGCCTTGTGTAGTCCTTCTCCGCATTGAGAGGGCCAGTTTTTGTAACCAGTAGGATATTGTGGAAATGATAGTGTGTGAATTCTTAGGTTAAGTCATAAAAGACGTTGTGCATTTTGCCTTGCTCCTCCTTGGGAGAAGCCAGTTGCCATGATATGAGGACACTCAAGTAGCCTTTTATGGAGAGATCCACGTGGTGAGGAACAGAGGCTTCATACCAACCTCATGTAAGAGAGGTAGCTATTTTGGAAGTGGATCCTCCAGCCCCGTCAAGACTTTAGACGACCTGCTCAACATCTTGACAATAACGTCATGGATTCCCTGAGCCAGAACCACCAACCTAGGCCTCTCTTCAATTCCTTACCCACAGAAACTATGAGATAATAAATATTTATTATTTTAAGCCATCAAATTTTGGGGTAATTTTTTTTATGCAGCAATAGGTAAATAATATAGATGAGACTATTCAGATGGAAGGAAATAAGAGAAATAATTTCTAATCAACTCAGGAAGTAAAACGAAATCAAGTTTATTTTTAAAAGAAAAACTTATACTATAAGCATTTGTGGTCTAAGTGTGTGTGTGTTTGTTGGGGATGGTGTGTTGTGATAGGTCAATGCAAATTTTCCACAGTTGGAGAACCATGCTGTGTAGAGGAACCAAGCAGAATAGTTTGGGTGTGGATTTTGTGTATGTATGGTGTTGGAGGTATGGGGGTTTTATGTGGTATTTGTATAGCTAGGGATGATATACAAATTATTTAATAAGTGGCCATGGCATAGGAAGCAAGCAAGCAATCAGAATGGTCCTTCTACCAATCAGCACCATTGCCTATAAACAAATAGTGAAGTTATCCCTCTGTCTATTGACTGCACATCAGTGTGGAGTGTAGAGGCTTTGACCTGACGTGGGGTGTGGCCACATTGCCTTGGACGTTTTAATATAGGTCTTTCCACAAGATGGCACTGATAGCTTTTCCTTGTTTCTCTTTTTTTGTCTTCTTGAGAAATTTGTGATTTGTGTACTGTTACAGAACAGACCATGACTGAAATCTCACAATTTACTAGTTGATTTCTTGTACTTCTGACAATTCTATTGCCTTCATGGCACTTAAAATTGTGTTTTTCCTTTAGACTATTCCAGCACATCAAGACTTCATGTTGGGATATTGCGGGGTGGTGCCTTATACCAGAAGCTATGGTTACGGGAGCTGGAGATGGGGAAGGAACTGCGGGCCAGGCTTTGGTTTTTGCAAAGCTATTCAACAAAGGCAGGTGAGAGCAGAATCAGAGAAGAGGGAGCACTCAGTGAGGTAAGAGCT